CAGATGATATGATCCTATACATAGACAACCTAAGAGACTCAGAAAAAAAAAAAAAAAAAAAAAAAACTACTGGAACTAATTGAGAGATTTACCATCATGGAGGGATACAAGATTACTATACAAAAATCAGTTGGATTCCTCTATTCCAGCAAAGAGATCTCTGATAAGGAAATCAATACCATTTACAATAGTTACCAAAAAGATAAGATACTTGGGAGCAAATCTTACCAGAAACACAAAAGACCTATGCAAAGAAAACTACAAAACACTGCTTCAAGAACATGTAACAAATCTAAATAAATTGAAAAACACACTGCTCATGGATAGGAAGATTGAACATTGTGAAAACCTCAAGAATACCCAAAGCAATCTGTATATTCAATGCAATCCCAATCTAGGTTCCATCAACATTGTTTAAAGAAAAGGAAAAACCAGTAATTTTATAGGGAAAGGAAAGAGACCTTGGATAAGCATGCACTTCTGAAGAGAATAAAGTAGGAGGTCTCACTCTCCCATATCTCAAAACCTACTGTATAGCCACAGTTGTCCAAATAGCCTGGAATCAGTACAATGACAGACACATATACCAGTGGAACAGAATTGAGAATTCAGAAATAGATCTATCAACCTGTCATCAGTTGATCTTTGACAAATGGCTGGAATCCATTAAATAGGGAAGAGATAGTCTCTTCAACAAATGTTGCTAATAAAACTGTATATCAATTTTCACAAGAATGAAACAAGATCCATATTTCACACAAAACACAAAAACTAACTTCAGATGGATCAAAGACTTAAATGTGAAACCTAAAACTATAAAGTTCACCAAGGAAAAAATAGGGGCAAACTTAGGGACCCTAATTTACAGCATAAATGGACTATCAAGCATAACCCAAGATGCACAAACAGCAGAAGATAAACTAGATGATTTTCAGAAAACTAAATTCTTATGTGCATCAAAAGAGCGAAAAGAGAACCTACAGAACGGGAAAAAAATATTTGGCAATGACATATCAGACAAAGGACTTATCTCTCAAATTTATAGAAAACTCCAACACCTTAACATTGAAAAGATAATCCAGTTAAAAAATGGGCAAAGGATATGAACAGGCACTTCACCAAACAAGATATTCAGGCAGCCAACAAACACATGAAGAAATGTTTGTGATCATTAGCCATTAGAGAGATGCAAATCAAAACAACTATAAGTTACTATCTCACCCCTGCATCAATAGCAAAGTTCAACAAAACAAAATAACAAATGCTAGCAAGAATGTAGAGAGATTGAGACTCTCATACATTGCTGGTGGGACTGTAAAATGATACAACCACTGTGGAAATCAGTGTGGCAATTCCTTAAAAAGTTGGAAATAGAAATACAGATTTGATCCAGCAATCCCATTACTAGGTATATATCCATATCCTAAAGAAGTAAAAGGCAGGACACAAACAGATATATATATATATATATATATATATATATATATATATATATATATACACACCCATGTTCATCACAGCACTATTCACAATAGCAAAGAGATACAAACAATCTAAATGCCCATAAACCAAAGAATGGATAAGCACACTGTGGTACAAACACATAACGGAATACTCTGCAACTCTGAAGAATAATATGGAACACGCAAAACACCACATAATGTGGATGAACTTGGAAGACATTATGCTGAGTGAAATAATTCAATTACAGAAGAACAAATATTGTATTACTCTACTATTGTTAAAAGTGATGGAAAGGTGTATACATGGAAGGAGACTTTCTTTGTTGGTTACAAGAGAGGGGATGGGAGGGGAGGTGAGGGAATGGGAGGGGAGGTGAGGGGAGGGAAAATTCTTAGGTTGAAAATTATATGTGTGTGTGTGTGTGTGTATGTATATATACACATATATACATACACACACACACACCCCAAAGATTACTAGTGATTAGCAGGGGTAGTAGGGAGGGGGAAAAGGGAAGCTTTTGTTTTCAGGGCCTTGAGTTTATGACAGTGGTCATGGAAATTTTTAGAAAAGGATAGCAATAATGGTGGCATAGCATGAAAAATGTCACCTGAGCTATAAAGGGGGAAGTTGTTATGTTGGTGAATGTCTTGTATATGTTTTCACCACAATTTAAAAAAATGTGATTTTGACTCAATGTCTGCATATGTAAAACATTAGTGATATCATCTGTTCTTCATTAAATCATGTAATAAATAAAGATCTATGGAATGTATATTCTGTGTTAGACATTATCCTAGGGTCAAAGGGAAATGTGAGTCCTAGGATCCATTTTAAAGAGTTTTATGGAGTGAAACTTTAAGTAAAACTGCAGATGTTGTTGTTGTTGTTATGTGACGTCGAGTCGGCCCTGACTCATAGTGACCCCTCCTTGGGTTTCCAAGGCAGTATCACTACGGAAGTAGATTGCCCAACCTTCCTTCCGAGTGGCTGGTGCGTTTCAACCATCAGCCTTCTGGTTAGCAGTCAAGTGCCTTAGGCACTATGCTACCAGAGCTCCTTAAAACTGCAGATATGAACTGCAAACTTATTCAAACATTTTGATACCACCTTTCTCAAGATAGCAGATAGGAATTTTGTGCCAATTGATTGATTCAATCACTGCCTGCAGCAGAGTAGCTGAAAGTTTCTGGCAAGCCATCACATGGTTGTGGTCAGCAGTCTACCTTCAATTTAACCTGCAAGCACACTACACTGCATTACCACTAAATGTGCTAGTCTAGTGTATTTAGAATTCCACCGAGAGAGACTATATTATTTATTTCACACTCTCCTCTCAAACCTCCCACCCCGCCCAACTTTCAGCTGTTTACATGCTTATTTTACTGAGAAAAACAGAAGCAATTAAAAACCACATTGTTTTCCTGGTGTCAAATCTGTCAAATCTGTATGCATACATACTCATATGTTCTACCTTTCTTTCTGTTATGGTTGTCTTCTTTCTTATACTCTGTTCTCTCCTGCCACAAACATGTTTTTATCCTTCTTCAGTCTTCCGCATTTCAATTAATAGAGCCAACCATCCATTCCGTCTTTCAATTTCAGTAACTTAAATGTCATCCACTGTTCCCTTCTTTTCTTCATCCTATTCCATCAAATCTATCAGAATATACTGTGAGCAATATCTCCAAAATGCATCTCAGTCTGACCACTCTTTTTTTTTTTAGGATTTGGGTGAAGATTTACAGAGTAAATTCACTTTTCATACAGCAGTTCACATATACTTTGTCTCATGTCATTGACCAAAATTTACAATGCAGCAGCTCCCCTCCCACTTCCTCCCCATAGTTACCTCCTCCCAGTGTCCATCCCTTCATACTCTTCTGTACCCTGAGCTATCTCCCTGTGCATAAGCAGCCCTTCCTTCTCCCATGATTGTTCTCTCCAGGGCGTGTATCTACTTGAGGTAAATGTTTAACTCACATGCCTGTACTTTGTTTGGCTGGAAACCACAGTTGTGGGTTCAATTCCAGACCTGAAGGGCAGCTAGGGGCCATAGTCTCAGTGGTTACACCAGTCTGACCACTCTTAACATCACTGTGTGACCTCCTTGGTTCAAGCCACTCTCATCTCTTCTTGAATAGTGTACCAGTTTCTCAGTGGTATCATTGCTACCTCTGACTTTAACTTTCTATAATTTACTCTCCACAGACATGTCAGCAGGATTTTTAAAAAAATTAAATCAGATTTTATAACTCACTTTGACAACTTCCCTTGCAATTTGAATATAATTCATTCTTTCAAACAAACCAAATGGGGGAAATATTTTTGAGAAAATAAGGGAAATTTGAATGAGTATTGGAGGACACTAAAGGATTGTGGTTAGTTTTGTTAGGTATGATAATGGTATTATAGTTATATAAGAGATTGTCCTTATTTTTACAGATGCATTTGAAGGAATTTGCTTTAAAGTTCTATACCATAGCATTCCATCCCACCCCATGACCACCAGAAAAATTAAAAAAAAAAAAAAAATAAGGGAAAGAAAGGAAAGAAAATTGGATAGATAAAAGTGTGTGGTAAAATGATAATTGTTGATTCTGCATACATAGGGGTTTATTCTACTATCCTCTCTATTTTTATATATATTTGAACCCTTTCATAATACACAGGTTACAAAAGGACAACTAAAAACTTTCCAGTTATTTGTCATGGCCTTCAAAGTCCTGTGTGATTACATACTCACCTACTTCCCTAATCTTTTATTCCATTCTCCTTTTTGTTTGCTATAGTTTGGCCACACTCACTTCTTTTTTCTTCTAAATACTTCAGGCCTTTACACATTCTGTCCCACCTGCCTGATACACCTTTTCAGGGCTGAAATATTTAGGTCTTATTGGTTATTCCCACCCCTCACTCCCACACACTCTATTTTTAAAAATTATGTCACTTTGTCTTCATGTTTATTATTTCTCTTCTACTAGAATTTAATTGCCATTCGGCAGGGACCTTACATCTAAAACAGTGCACAGTGGGAACTCAATAAAACTTGTGTATGAATGAAGTAGGTATTATGATTTATTCCCATTTTAAAGGTGAGGAAATTAAAGCTGCAAAATATTAAATCATTTTCCTAGTGCCACAGATACCAAGAGGCAGAACTGGGAACTGACCTGAAGTTTATCTGACTCGTGAGCCTGTTACATCTCTAGTATATTACCTCATAGTGGATTAACTCAGGACTAGGGGGACATAACCTCTAACTCACAAAATAGAATAATGAATTGTCTTTCTAGGTATATTACTTTTGGAAGAAATTTCATGACTTTAGTTAAATTCTCAAAAGAGTTTTAGAGCTTCAGATTTTAAAAATCATTCTTTGGTTGTTGCTACTGGGGCATCTTACAATGTTAGAAACTCAACATAATATGAGAAGTTTAAAGTGCTGGCTGAGGTAAACATTTTGTTATCTGTTCCTAAAAATGAACACTTGTGAACACTTAAGAAAAATCTTTGGATTTAATATTTTTTCACAGGCCATCGGACGTCCATTTATGCCTCCATACTGGTCTCTGGGATTTCAGCTGAGTCGATGGGGCTATAATAACATAAAAGTGCTGCAAAAAACAGTTGAACGTTTGAAACAGTATAATATTCCTCATGTAAGTGTATCCCAAACACTATGGTGTCAGTTGAGAAGAACAAGGAACTTAGAAACTGTAGTAATTATATTGTAACATGAAATACACACACACACACATACACAAAGCATGGAACTGGCATCATTTTTGTTTATTATCCTCTCAATTTTCAATTACAAAAGTCATATTTTATTTTCTTTGACTCATAAAATAATTGAAATGATCTGAAACTCACACCAATATTTAAATTTCATAAGTAGCCATTTATTAGCTACTTATGAATCTTTGACAATATTTGTCATTTTTCTAATGTTTGAAGGTCATGTCTATGTTTCTGCTTTGTACAGGATGTTCAGTATGGTGATATTGACTACATGGATTGTCAGCTGGACTTCACATATGATAAAACTAACTTTGCTGGTCTTCCTGAGTATGTTAAGGCCCTGAAAAAAGATGGAATGCATTATGTCATAATTTTGGTAAATTTCTTTTCAAGATCAACCAATATATTTTAATTCACATTTTCTGAGCATATCTAAAAATACGTATTACAATTAATTTATCAAAAAGTAGAATTTCCAGCACTACCATATTTTGGAAGAACATGGTTTTAAGGATGATAAATTATAAGAAGTGTTGCGTTATTTAGATGAGACAGAATGTCATAACAAGTGATGGAGGAATTCATTAAACTATCTAAAACCCAATATTCTTTCTAAAATAAATTGACTTATAAATAGAAGGAAAAACGTGCTTTTCCATAGACGGCCTATCTGTCAAGATTTATTTGGAGACCTTGCCATAAAATCCTAAATGAAGAATAATACAGTTACTAAATAAATGCAACGATTCTTGGACTGAAAGAAACTTGACTTCATGTTGGGAGACAACATTATCATTCATTTAATATATTTATAATATAAAAGTGATCTCCATGACTACTTCTAAGAACAGGAATGTTACTAGAAGTTTTCGATGAGATGGTTGTCTCACTGTACATAAGAGAGATTATATCTTTCACAAAATGATTTATTGCTGTTATCTTTATGTGATAAAAAAATTTCACTGTTAAAATTCTTATTTCTTATATTGACTTAATGATGTTTGAAGTTTATGAGGAAAGAGGTTTTTTTTTTTTTTGTAACAAATTACTTATTTTAAATCAAGGAATATATATTTATTACCCAACTGAGATAATTTAGCAAGAATGTATGAATAAAAATATTTTAAAATAAATATAATAGTAAAAAGTTTAGCAAGGGAAACAGATTTGGAGTAAGGTCAATAAATATTTGTGGAAAAAACAGATTATAGATCATAGGCTTTTTTCTCCCTCGAGTCATTGCCTTTTAGGGACAGTGACTTTAAGAATTTTCTTACTACACTCCATTTAATAGAACAGAAATTTGGACTTCCTCAAAATTAAGGGACTTACCTAGGCTTTTTGTAGCAGCATTGAGAGTAGAATCCAAATTTCTTGATTTTTCCATCAGGAAGATTTTATGTCACTCCACACTTTATCTCATATAAGAAACAAACAGACTGGAAAAGTTGTGTGCTACAGTAGCATCAGTACTGGATTTATGCATTAGATAGATTTTTAAGTAAAGTAAATTAGAGATTTTAATCAGAAGCAACATATTGCATTGCTAAATTAAGTTGACATCACTAGGGACCACATTTGCAGTACAAAAATAAGTGGAAATAGTTTTTATATTCATAACCCTACTTAAAAGGTGAAAACATCTTAGTGTATATAGTATAAAACAAACTGTGTATGTATAGTAGAGATTCGTATTTCAAATATTTTATGAAAGTTTACATTTGCAATTATCATAACTATTTTTTTATTAAAATGTTCTTGGAAATTTATTTGCAGGATCCTTTTTTGACAAAAGATGAACCAGAAGGTACTTACAAGCCTTATGACCTTGGACAGGAAATGGGAATATGGATCAATAATTCTGATGGAGCCACACCTGCCATTGGGAGGGTAAGTACCTTAAGGAAGAATAGATGTCAACCCCCTTCTTATTGAGTATTTGACAAACAAGTTCAGTTCATATAGCATCAGTGAACACATGTCACCTGAAATCAGTTCATGACACTTATGTGCAACTTCTCCATCTGTACTGACTTTTTAGTATTGGAACATTGGCCTAGATAACATTACTGTTAGGAGTCCTGGTGGTACAATGGTTAAGTACTTGACTGCTTGTCAAAATGTCGGTGCTTCTAAACCTACCCATAAAGATTATAGCCTAGGAGTCCCTATGGGGCAGGCAATTCTGTTCTGTCATAAGGGTCACTATGAGTTGGAGTCAACTTCAGAGCACAAGAATATTACTGGTAAAAAATTATTTAACTCCCATAGAGTAGGTGAGAAATTAAAAGAATAAGCTAATATACAGAGTATCAATTTTGAAAAGACATACTTTTAATAATTATGGCAAGTCAATGTAGATTGAGATTCTATGAGAAAATTAAGTATGTGTAGTTTGAGGAATGATACATGTAGACTCTGGTAGCATAGTGGCTAAGGCACTTGACTGCTAACCAGAAGGCTGGAGGTTCAAACCCACCAGCCACTCCTCGGAAGGAAGATGGGGCAATCTACTTCTGTAGTGATACTGCCTCGGAAACCCAAGGAGCGATCGCTATGAGTCGGGTCTGACTTGATGGCACATAACAACAACAACACATGTAGACTATTTTCTGAAGTGAAAGGTCTTCATTTTTTTTTCTTTCTTTTATACATTGGGAATATCTTTAATTCTTTTACTGATTATCAAAGTACTATAACATTGTTAAAAAAAACTCATATAGTATATGAAAAATAGAAAATGACCATCCTTTAACTTCAATTCCCCAAAATATAATTTTATTATTTCAGTGTACATGCCTCCAAAGTTCTTAATACATATAATTGTATTTTTACATAAATGAGTAAATATGCTATGTCTTAAAACTTTTAAAAAACTATAACAAAATTTTGCAGGTATGTTTCCTTGTTAATACATATGAAATTCCCTCATCTTTTTCAATACTGATGCAATATGCTGCTTTTTTCATGTGGGAAAATTATTTTAACCAATGCATAATGACTGATATTTTCTTATTTCTTGTTTCTAGTTATAAATAATGGTACAGTAAATATGTTAGTCCCTTAAGAAACAAACTCACTGTCATTAAGTCAGCTCCGACTCATAGCAACAAACCCCTCCTTGGGTTTCCAAGGCAGTATCGCTATGGAAGTAGATCGCCCAGTTTTTTTTCCAAGAAGTGGCTGGTGGGTTTGAACCACCAGCCTTCTGGTTAGCAGTCAAATGCCTTAGGCACTATACCACTAGAGCTCCCATGTTAGTACCTAGGTGTTGTGTATATTTTGTCTCATTATTTCCATATAGTAAATTTACTAAAATGGAAGAAATTACATCTAAAATGTCCATCACAGATTTCTATGTATTTTCCAATTGTATCAATTTACAATGTTCGTATTAATTTATGAACTTAGCAACAGGGATAACCAAAACCAGCTGTTGTAAAGTCGTTTCATACTCATGGTGATCCCATGTATGTCAGAGCACTGTGCTCCTTGAGGTTTTCAGTGGCTGAATTTTCAGAAGTACCTGAGTGAACTTAATCCATCAACATTTTGCTTTCCAGCCCAGTGTGCTAACTACCCTGAGACTCCAACAGGCATAACAATAACTGCTTATCAATACATTTCCCAACACAGGGCAAGCAAAAAACTAAGATTTTCTTACATTTCTGTTCCTTCATTATTTGTGAGGCTAATCATCTTGTTTGTAACATTTCTTTACTATTTCTTTTTCTTTGTGAAGTATCAGGAAATAACCATCACCATTTTCCTATTGGGGATTCTGCCTTTTTCTTAATGATGTGTAAAATATTTGTTTTCTGTTTGTGATTCCAAATATGTTTCCTTGGCTGTCTTTTATGTCTTTTAACCTGTTTATTGTATCTTTTGCCGAATAGTTTATATTATTTTGTAGCTATATCTCTTTTGTTTTGTTTTGTTTCTGCCTTTGGTGTCATGTTTTGCATCTTTCAAAAGTCTTTCTTAACTCAATTTTGTAAAAACAGACACCAATATATCATTAGAGAATTTTTAAGTTTTTTGAACATTTAAACACATTTAACATTTAAATTTGGTTTATTTCTGTGATTGATGTCCAATAGGAAGGTAACTTAATTTTTCCAAATGGATAGTAATGGATCAAATATCACTTGTTGAATTTGTCATTTCCCCACTGCTATGAAGTACCATCTTTTGTCATACACTGAACCCTTATAGACACATGTATCTGTTTCTTACCTCCCAGTTATGTTACATTTCTCTGTTTATACATTCCTGTATCCTTTATTGTTTTACTTAATATAATCTTAAACCTGCTGCTGTTGAGTTGATCTGACTCACAGCAACACTGTAAGACAGAGTAGACCTGCCCTATAGGGTTTCCAAGGCTGTAAACCCTTGCAGAAGCAGACTGCAAAACAGCACCGAGCAGTGGCTGGGTCTGAACTACTGACTTTTTGGTTACCAAATAAGCACTTTAACCACTATTCCACCAAGGCATGTTAATATGACCTTAACATACATTTATTTAGGCTTTCTTCTTCTTTTTTCCTAAAATTCTTAACCATTGTCTCTCATTTATACTTCTAGATGAAATACAGAATCAGGTTACAAATCATCACAATAGAATTTGGGTTGGTATTGATTTAAATTTATAGTTCAGTTTGGAGAGACTTAACATCTATATATTATTGAATTTTTCCCATCCACAAACATTCTATATTTCTCAATTTGTGTATTGTTTTGTATGCTTCATGAATGTGCTGTAGTTTCCATTATATTACTCTTATAGCTTTTTTTGAGACCATGGGTACATTACTGTTTTGTTGCTATTGTAAATATAATTTTTGCATTTCCTAATCCCTATAGCTGTAGTATAGATTAGTGTATGGAGAAGAATGACTGACATTATTTCATGTACAATTTTAATTTCAAGAAATTTCATGTACTATTCTGTTGGCAGAGTATTGGATTGGGATGTGGGATTCCCTTCCTCTTCTGACACTAACTTGTTATTTCCTTGTATTACATGCTTGGTTAAGTTATTTAATGTCACTGAACCTAAATTTTTATTTTTATCACTCAAAGTGTGCCTAAGGCATTTGACTGACCAGAAGGCTTGTGGTTCAAACCCACCAGCTACTCCTCAGAAGGAAGATTGGGCAATCTACTTCTGTAGTGTTACCACCTTGGAAAACCAAGGAAGTGTCTCTATGAGTCAGATCCAACTCAATGGCAATGAGTTGGGGTTTTTTTGTATAGAAGATTCTAAGGGGCTCTGGTGTTGTAGTGGTTAAGGCATTTGGCTGCTAGCCAAAAGGTTGATGGTTTGAATTCACCAGATGCTCCATGGAAGAAAGATGAAGCAATCTACTTCCATAAAAGTTTATAGCCTTGGAAACCCAATGGGGGTCACTATGAGTTGGTATCCACTTGATAGCAGTGAGTTTGGTATTTTGTTTTGTTTTTGTTTTTTGGCATAGCACATACCTAATTAGGTTCTGCATTATTTTGATTGATTTCTTTATCCATCATAGGCCTGGCCTCCAGGAGATTCAGTGTTTCCAGATTATACCAACCCCCTAACAACAAAATGGTGGATCCAGATGTGCATGGAATTTAAAAACATCATTGATTATGATGGGATCTGGATTGTAAGCCTACATTTATTATTTTAAAGAAATTTTTCCCTGGTGAGAAAGTGAAATGATTCACCTATTTTTTTTTCAGCTTTATAGCAAGTCATAGAAAGAGAAATCCTTCCCTGTCTTCTTTATATTCTCTACTTTAACTCCTCTACTTCACCACTGGAGTGTAGTACTATTTTCTCCAAGACAGGCACCATCTGTGTCTGGCACCTGGATCATTGCTTCATCTTATTTTGATTGAGGCTTGTTTATGCAGATCTCATTGTTTATGACTACTGTGTGCAGAACACTGGAGAGGCAACAGTTGGGGAGGGAGGTGGACAAAAAGAACTGTTGTATGACCACAATAGGGCTAGCATTGCAAGCATTGAAAACACAAACCAAGAAAGGAACTCAGGTCAGTTTTACACCAGTGCAGGTGATAGCTCTGGTAGCACAGTGAGTGCCAAAGGCATCTGAGTGCTAATCAGAAGGTTGGCAGTTCAAACCCACCAGCCACTCCATGGAAGCAAGACTAGGCAATCTACTTCCATAAAGATTTACCACCTCAGAAACCCAATGGGGGTCACTGTGAGTTGGAATCGGCTCGATGGCAGTGGGTTTGGGTTTGGTTTTGTTTTTTTGGGGAGGTGATAGCTAAGATGAGAAATGATCAATGAATGTGAGTCAGCTAAGTGAAGCAGGATATGGGTGGAAGTATTTCAGGTAGTGAGACTAGCATATGCAAGAGTGCAGAGAAGAGAAATCAGGGAGGGTATGGCCCAGTATTATTGCAACCATAGCTCGTTGTGTGCCTAATGGGCCCCACTCTTCCAGAAAAACACTTGGAAACAATCATTTGGGCTGAGGATTGTGTGAAGATTAGAGAATTCCTGCTATTCAACAGAGGGCCTTCTTTTTTTCCACTTGCAGCATAGTTTGCTGTTTCTATGCCTTTGTTTGCTTCCCTTCCCATTTCTCATTTCCACATGTTCAAATTCTATGAGCCCATCACATGGAGTCTCCATAACAACTTCTCCATGAAGTTTTCTCTGGTACTCTTAATAGAAGTAATCTTGACTCTCTCTCATTTCAAAAACAAGCATTTATTGAGTCCTCCTCTATGCCAGAGAGAGAGACAGTGAGCTCTGGTGGTATAGTGCCTAAGGCATTTGACTGCTACCCAGAAGGCTGGCAGTTCAAACCTACCAGCCACTCCTTGGAAGGAAGATTGGGCAATCTACTTCTGTAGAGATAGCACCTCAGAAGCCCAAGGAGCGGTCGTTGTGAGTAGGAATCACCTCAACAGCAGTGAGTTTGGTTTTTGTGGTTTACTCTATGCCAGGAGGCATTGGGGATACACTTAAAAATAGTATTTCCATTATGGAGCTTAAAGTCTAGTGGGGGGTATAAGCAGCAACCAGTATAACAAGTGAAACAGAATATGTTGGATAATAATTACTGCCAGAGAGAAAAGTTAATTTGGGAGGCAAGATAGTAAATAAGCTTGGAATTTAAATAGAGGGGTCAGTGAAGAAGATAATTGATAACAAAAGTAAGAGACTGAGCCGTGGGCATATCAAGGAGGAAAAGCATTCGGATGACAAACAGCAAGTACAAAATAGAAATATACCTGATGTTTTCCAGGAGTAGCAAGGGGACTGGTGTGCTTAGGCAGAGTGAGGGGTGGGGCAGTAGGAAAAAAAAAATCCAAAGGGATACTGAGGCAGTGTCATAAAAGGCATCTTTGGCTTTTACTTTGAGTGAGATAAGGAAGCACTGGAGGATTTTAAGTAGAGGTTTTCAAAGGATCACTCTGGTTGCTTTTATTGAGAACAAACTATTGGAAGGCCAAAAGCAGTGGGAAAGCAGGAGCAAATTCAGGTATTATAGAGCCTTATATAATTTGGGTAGTTTTAAGAAAAATATAAAAATTACAAATAAAATAATAGGTATGAAAGTATGAAGGGGCTGCACAAGGGAGTGCCAAAACTTAAATTTCTTTAGCTTATAGATAAATCCACTCCTGAGCCCCTGTGAAAGAAAGAGTCCAGTTAGGAGGAAGCCATTGCAACAATTCAGGCAAAAAACAGTGGTGGTGTAGTCTGTGGTAGTGAAAATGAAGTGAATGAGACCAAACAGAGTCTACATTTATTTTGAAGGTAGAGTTGAATTGGTTGATGGATTAGAGGTGAGCTGCAAGAGGAAGAAATTAAGATTGATTTCTGTCACCAACCATTGGAAAAATGTAATTGACATTTACTGAAATGGATCATCTCTGTTTCTGTTCCATGAATTTTACATATTTGTGAAACTATTAATGATTTGCCAATATATGCTCTTTGAGACCAGGGATAGTATTATTATTATTTTTTTAAACTTCTAGTTAAACTCCACACACATTTAAAAAAATGTTTGTTGAATGAGTGAATGATCTTTCTTGTGCTCTTTTCCCTCAATAAGAAGAAAATTATGCTTGAAATTCATTGAATTTCTGTTTTTTTATGTAAGGATATGAATGAACCATCCAATTTTGCAACAGGACAGCAGCCAGGATGTGCAAACAATAATCTAAATAATCCACCCTATGTGCCTGGTAAGTACACAGAAATTGCAAAATGATTTTGAAACATTTTTACATCCCATGTGGGAAAAGTCTCTTTAATGCCATCAGTTTGATTTAGAAAGTATGTTTCCTTTCAAAGCTCTAACCAATCTAGGAACAATCCAGAAAACTCAGAAAATGTTTTTGTATCTACTGTACTCCTTTGGTGAGAGACCTTGGGATGGGATGTTCGAGAATTCTGTCCTCACTCTGGGAGGAACCAGAAATTCCCTTCCTTGGCTATTCTTAAAAGGAGGCAGGAAGCTAGATTTGTTGGTGTGGTGTGTTGCAGCTGACTCTTAGATGACCTTTTGGTTATAAGGTCTATACAACTCACAATTTCCACATTTTTTTTCTATTTCTGTAACTAGTCATATGTAATAAAATTCTGCAAGGTGGAAAAGTTATGGAGATTTAACTGAGAAGTAGAGTTTTGCAGTTACTCTGAGAAGGGCTTACCCTGGGATACAGAATTCTACTTTGAGTGATTACAGCTCTTCATTTACATTTCGTTTGCAATTACAGCCATTTGCATGTGCAGTGATTCACTTTCTATTCAAACCATAACAAAATGGAAATGCAAAACTGAAATAACAAAACTCAGTTATAACACCTAGTAAACCCCAGAGACCTCCTGCATTTTCTTGAATCCTAGAGATACTAATTTCCCTCCACATGTTACTAGTTACACAAAAGAAATGATGTGCAAAAGTTACTTCTTTCATTATTTTGTGAAATATCTAAATGAAAATACCAGGGAGGCAGTAAAATAAATAAATTTTGAGAGAAGAGATCTGAGTTTGAGATTAAAAACTGGGAAATAAATGCATAAAAATAGTATTTAACATTATTGAACTTTTCCCACCCATAAACATTCTATATTTCTCAATTTGTACATTGTTTTGTATACTTCATGAATGTACTGTATTTTTCATTATATTATTCTTACAGCTTTTGTTGAGACCATAGGTACATTACTGTTTTGTTGCTATTTTGTTTGTTTGTTTGCTGCTTTGTTGTTGGATTTAACACAAGGATGGATGATCCAATGTAGAGAGAATGACAGTGTAAAGCATAACATTGATAATGGCTTAGGCTGAAAGAATGGAACTATACAAAAATATTGAGGCTTTGGATAAAAGAAAAGATTAAGCTGACTCTGTTGGAAGCAATTAGATGGGAAGGAGGAGAGGAAAGAATGAGTGATGCATTCGGTCCCAACTGATATTGCTTTAAGAAGGAGGTCAAATAAGATGAGTGCAGAATGTGTCCATTGAGTTCAACAATATAGAGATCGGCAATATTGACAACAGCAGTTTCAGTGGAGAGGTGGGGATGGACATCAAATCAAAGTCAAGTAAGGAGTGTAATGGGGACGAGGAAGTAGAGATAGAGGTCTAAACAATCTTTGACAGGCAGTTTGGCTCTGAAGAGGCTTAGAGAATGGAGCTGTAGCTAAGAATGTGAATAAAGAAGAATGATGTTACACTGTCTTTGTTTTCTTAGAAACAGGAGATACTGGAACATGTTGGTTTGCTCTTAGGAATGAGCCAGTAGAGTTGAAGAGATGAATAATGCAAAAGAAAACAAACAAAAAACACCAAACTCACTGCCATTGAGTCGGATCCGACTCATAGTGACCCCTCCTTGGGTTTCCAAGGTGGTATCACTATGGAAGTAGATTGCCCAACCTTCCTTCTGAGAACTGCCAGCCTTCTAGTTAGCAGTCAAATACCTTAGGCACTTGCCACCAGAGTTTCTAATGCAAAAGAAGAACTTAATCCAAGGATTTACATTACTGAGGAGAAAGAATCAGATAGTATCAATTGTGAAGGGACCAAACTTAAAAAGATCATTTCCTTATTGTTAGAGGAGAAAGAAGAAACTGAGTAGAGATGTACTCAGATTTATGGATTAGGAGGTAGGAGGCTGAAGATATTCTCATCAGAAAAGCTTTTATTTCAAAACTATGTTCATCCGGGGAAGTGATCATGGGCAATGGAATTGGATTTTGGGAGTAGGAAGTTAAGAGAGAAAATAGAAGGTACTATAGTCATATCACAGAGTAGTAAGGTGAATTTATGAAAGAGCACAGTGGGACTCAGGCAATGTTGAGAGTACATCTGTGGTGTGTATTATTGAAGTGAAATATAAGGAGAATAGAAGGAAGTTTGGTTCTTTAGAAATGAGAATGTCAGTACTTCTTTCTAAATCACATTTGATTAAACTGTGAGAGAGTCAATGGAATCAATATAAGACAATAAGACAACTGTGCCCCATACTGCAAAGAGGTATGGATGCACTCTCCCAGGAAGGGAGCTCACTGTCAGAGAGGCAGCATAACCAGGACACCGAGCATGGACCATGGGCTTTAATGTCAAATGGACTCCAAATCCTGGCACCATCACTTTCTAGGTGTGTGAATTCAACCAGGTCTTTAATTTCTTTTGGCTGCAAAATGGAAATATGGATAGATACTCCTCTAACAGGAAAATATACCACAAATGGGATGGCTTTAATAAAAAATCTCTTACAGTTTGGAGGCTTTAAGTCCGAGTTCCAAGTGTCCGGCTCTAGGGGCTGGGTGAAAGCCCCTCACCTTGAACTTCAGCTTTCCCTCTTGCTCCCAGCCCTCTGTAGCTAGAGGCATCTCTTCACTCAGGCAGCTACTGGCTGCTGAGGCTAACAAGCCCAAGGGTGACAAATAAAATGGCACAGTCCCAATGTTACCAAACAATGCAGCAGGCCATTGATTCAAGTCCACTGAAAGTCCCAAGATTGGCAGAGCATGGCAGGCTGCTGAACAACAACCCAGCTACATGCAGAGTTCAGGTGTGCCATCAACTAGAGACCATTCCCAAAGCTGCTCCAATAGATTCCACCATGGAGTTAATTACCAGTCTCACCATGGGGAATAACTACATCCAGCTGCCCAGCCACTCAACCAGGCCTAGCCAAGTTGACATACAAACTTAACTACCACAGATAGTATGCATAGTAATTTACAAATGTGAGTTAAGGATCTAAAACATTATATGTGAAGTAGGTGAATGACATATAGCAGGTATAAGAAAAAAAGAGTTACCGTTTTATCTTATAAACAACAGGAGGAATTTAAATTCAAGTGCTTTGCCAAATACCCCAAATAAGCAATTAATATAAGATGATTATTATAACAATTTATATTATCTTTATTGCTCATGGGTATGAAGCCAGAATTGGCTGCTAAGAGAGTCCTTATTTTATCCTGGGAACATTTTTCACAAGACAAGCCTAATGGTTAGCCACCTTATTCCTGGTTTATATTCTTTTCCTTTTTTTTTTTTGAAAAAAAATTATTTTTATTGTTATTGAGCATATACATGGAAGAACATTCAGTAATTCAACAGTTTCTACATATACAGTTCAGTGACACTGATTACATTCTTTCACTTGTGCAACTGCTTTCACACACACACACCTTCTTTTTCCTTTTTTTAAAAAATTTGTATTGTGATTTTGGTGAAAGTTTACAGAGCAACTTCACGTTCTATACAGCAGTTCATGTACACATTGTCTCATGACATTGACTACAATTTACCACAGTGCAACAGCTCCCCTTCCACTTCCTCCACAGTTACCTCCTCCCTGTGTCCTTCCCTCCATGCACTCCTGCCCCCTGAGCTGTTTCCTTGTGCATACACAGCCCTTGTATTCTCCCATGATTGTTCTTTCCAAGGAGTATATCTACCTAATGTAAATGTTCAGCTCATATGCCTTTTGTTTGAGTGGAAGCCACAGGACTGGGTTCAATTCCAGACCTGAAGGGCAGCTGGGGGCCATAGTCTCAGTGGTTCCACCAGGCTCTATCATACCAGCAAGGCTGGTCCCACACACACAGTTTTTTTTAATAATATGGAGTTTTGTCCCACCTCTCTATGCAGGATCTCCTACATACATCACCCTCTGACTGGTTGAGAGTGATAGCCAGGCCCCATTTAGTTCTTCTGGTCTCATAGTCATATAGGCTGAGGATTGCATAGAGTATCAGGTGCTTGGACTAATTGTTTCCATGAATCTTTGGTTTTCTTCATTCTTCTTTGCTCTGGAAGAGGAGAGACCCATCATTGTGTCTAGATGGCTGCTTACAAGCTTTTAAGATCCTAGTCACTGCTCGCCAAATTAGAATGTGGAACAATGTTTTTGTGTAGTATGTTATGCCAATTGAGCTTGATGTCCCCTGCGACTATGGTCCCAAGCCCACAGGTCCAACTACTTGCTCCTTCTGGGTAGCTGGCCATGGCCAAGAAGTAACTACAACTTATATACCTGGTCATTCTTACAGAACATACAAATACACCTGTAGAATCATTGTCTGCCAACCCTGTACATGATCTTGGGCACACTCTTCCCTGCATAGACATACCTAATCATTCAGCCTGTCCACCCATCTATCCAGCCATAGATCAATGTTTTCCTTCACTGACAACACAGTATTTTACATGCAGAAGGGTCCACCTTTGTTATCTGTACCTTCCATGCACATCTCTGTGTCTTCCTCTTCCTCCATGCCTCCGTGTTGATCATTCACATTTGATATATTGCCATTTTCTTTACCCCAATCAATACTAGGCTCTACCTATCTAACAGTGTTCCCTCCCCTCTCCATCCCACCCCTGGTAACCAACAAAGAAAGTTTCCTTACATATATAAACCTTTTCTTGATTTCTCACAATAGTGGAGTAATACAATATTTGTTCTTCTGTGATTGACTTATTTGACTCAGCATAATGTCCTCCATGTTCATCCACATTATGTGGTGTTTTCTAGATTCTACGTTATTCTTTAGGTTTGCATAGTATTCTATTTTGTGCATGTACCATAGTTTGGTTATCTATTCTTCTGTTGATGAGCGCCTAGGTTCTTTCCATCTTTCTGCTATTGTAAATAGTGCTGCGATGAGCACGGGAGCGCCTGTATCTGTTTTTGTCCTGGCTCTCACTTTTTTAGGA